TTTTTTTTTTTTAATGTGTTGCCAGTTACTAGACCCAGAGATACTCAATTACTCACCCACTGAGTTACACCCTTAGCCCCTTTTATTTTGAGACAAAGTCTTGCTAAATTGCACAGGTTGGCCTTGAACTTGTGATCTTTCCTTAGCCTCCTGAACATTTGGGGTTACAGATGTGTACCACCATGACTGATTTGTGGGCTTCACTTTTGTTAGGCCAGAATTCATTCTAGCATTCTGATACTAGGTCAGCCAACCTGTTGGATCTTGTTTCCAGCCCAACTTCTAGTTATTACATGACTGTTATCACCATGCTTCAGGCAGTTTCCTCGTGAACAGGAGCCACAGTGGCTCAGTGAGTCTAAGGGAGCCAAGCTGGCAGGGTGTTTGGTGGGCACTTTCACCAGACAGCAGCTCTGAGCTCCTGTTTGCAGATAACTGTTCACATGCATGTTTCATGAGATTCCCATCGTAAGGGAGTATTCATAGGGATTTATTCACCGTAACTCTACTTACATTGTTCAAAATGCTATGAAGCAAATAAATTAGGAAATTGTCCTTCACTTAAAAGGCACATTTGTTGGAGGATTGTTACTGTTTTTCTACTATATTTTACATGATTCTGTAGAAACTGAATTTAAATATGGATTTCAGATGCACATCTGTTGTGATACTTTCCATGTCAGTCAATTCATAATTATAGATAAACCTGCTTGGAAGCTCAAACACTGAGTCTTGAGTGGAGTCCTGTATTGTACTGTTGTCCTTTTCTTGCATAAAAAGGTGGACTACCATTAAGTAGCATCAGTACAAAAAAGTTATTATTTGTGTGATATCATTCAGGTATAAAGTATCAAATTCACATTCAAACCTGTTCATTGAAAAGCTCTGACAGTTCCCTTGGCCTATAAATAGTGAGCAAGCTACCCAGAAGACCCACCACCACCACCAATTTCCTATGTATCTTCCTAGAAATACTAGAGATGGTTTGTGAATGGCACACCTTTCAATGTGCAAGCTTGTGTTTGAAATTTTAATTTCCTCTATATCTCTTTGACTCTGCTTCATGGTATCTATTTCTTTCCTGTATTGCTCAGAATGGCACACCTTTCACCAGGCGATCATATCTCAGTCTCTAGCAATTGCATTCTACATGCAAAGGGTGAGATGAGTCCAGATCTAATGCTTATACTGACCCAATGTCTTGACACTATTTGCAAGTAGTTCCTTTTTCTAATTTCTTTCCAGTGACAGGAGCATCTGGTGTCCCTGAGAATAACCCACCTTGTACTGTGAACATCCCTATTGCACCGATCCACAGCTCTGCTCAAGCTATTTCCCCCACACAGAATATAGGGCTGGTGCAGTCCCTGCTGGCCAATCAGAATGTGCAGCTAGATGTCCTGACCAATCAGACAACAGCTATGGGAGCATCAGAACATATAGGTGACAACGTGACCCAGTACCCAGTACCCAACAGGTACTCCAACCCTGGACAGGTGATTTTTGGAGGTATGGAAATGGGCCGCATCATTCAGAACCCTCCTCAGTTGCCCTTGCCGCCGCCGCCACCACCACCACCACCACCACCTCCACCACCACCACCACCACCACCACCACCTCTACCACTACCACTACCACCACCACCACCACAGGGGGTCATGCAGCTGGCTGTGGTGGACCATGGAGACCGAGAGCATGAGCACTTGCAGAAGCCAGCCAAGGCCCTGCGGCCAGTGCCTCAGCTAGCAGCTGAGGGAGACGCAGTAGTCTTCAGTGCCCCCCAGGAGGTTCAGATGACAAAAATGAACCCCCCACCCCCCTACCCAGGAACCATTCCTGCTGCCCCAACTACTGCTGCACCCCCACCGCCGCTGCCACCACCTCAGCCCCCAGTGGATGTGTGCCTGAAGAAGAGTGACTTCTCCCTCTACCCCACATCAGCACATTACCAGCCTCCCCTGGGCTACGAGAGGATCACCACGTTTGACAGTAGTGGCAATGTGGAGGAGGTGTGCCGGCCTCGTACTCGAATGCTCTGCTCCCAGAACACCTATACCCTTCCTGGTCCAGGTAGCTCAGCCACCTTGAGGCTTACAGCCACTGAGAAGAAGGTCTCCCAGCCCTGCACCAGTGCTACCCTGAACCGCCTGACTGTCCCTCGCTACTCCATCCCCACAGGGGACCCACCCCCATATCCTGAGATTGCTGGCCAGCTGGCCCAGGGGCGGGGCACTGTCCAGAGACTGGATAGCAGCCTCATCCATGCCACCCTGCGGAGAAACAATCGTGAGGTTGCTCTCAAAATGGCCCAGCTGGCTGACAGCTCCCGGGTGCCTCTGCAGCCACTGGCCAAGCCCAAGGGTGGCCCTGGTGGAGCTGTAGCACAGCTCCCAGCACGGCCCCCACCAACCCTATATACCTGCAGCCAGTGTAGTGGTGCAGGGCCCAGCCCACAGTCAGGAACTATCTTGGCCCATGCTGTCAGCACCTCCCCACTGGCTTCCCAGTCCTCCTACAGTCTCCTGAACCCACCTGACAATACCCGCGACCGTACTGACTATGTAAACTCAGCCTTCACAGAAGATGAGGCTTTGTCCCAGCACTGTCAGCTTGAGAAACCCTTGAGGCACCCCATGCTGCCTGAAGCTTCTGTCACCATGAAGCGACCTCCCCCTTACCAGTGGGACCCTGTGCTGGGCGAGGACGTTTGGGTTCCCCAGGAAAGGACAGCACAGCCTGCAGTGCCCAACCCTTTGAAACTGCCCCCTCTGATTCTAGGGCAGGGCCAGCATCTGGATGTGGCCCGGGTACCTTTTGTCTCTCCCAAGTCTCCCACCAGCCCTACTGCCACTTTCCAGACAGGCTATGGGATGGGAGTGCCATATCCAGGAAGCTATAACAACCCCCCTTTGCCTGGAATACAGGCTCCCTGCTCCCCCAAAGATGCCCTGTCCCCACCACAGTTTGCACAACAGGAGTCTGCTGTCGTCCTTCAGCCAGCATACCCGCCTAGCCTCTCCTATTGCACCTTGCCCCCCATGTACCCAGGAAGCAGCACATGCTCCAGTTTACAGCTGCCACCTATCGCCTTGCACCCATGGAGTTCCTACAACACCTGCCCACCCATGCAGAACCCCCAGGGCACTCTCCCATCAAAGCCCCACTTGGTGGTGGAAAAGCCCCTCGTGTCCCCACCACCAGCTGACCTCCAAAGCCACATGGGCACTGAGGTAATGGTAGAGACTACAGACAACTTCCAAGAAGTCCTTTCCCTGACAGAAAGCCCGGTCCCCCAACGGACAGAAAAGTTTGGAAAGAAAAACCGAAAGCGCCTGGATAGCCGAGCAGAGGAAGGAAATGTTCAGGCCATCACTGAGGGCAAAGTAAAGAAAGAGGCTAGGACTTTGAGTGACTTTAATTCTCTCATCTCCAGTCCCCGCCTGGGAAGAGAGAAAAAAAAAGTAAAGAGTCAGAAAGACCAACTGAAGTCAAAGAAGTTGAACAAAACAAACGAATTCCAGGACAGCTCAGAGAGTGAGCCTGAGCTCTTCATCAGTGGGGATGAGCTGATGAACCAGAACCAAGGCAGCAAGAAGGGGTGGAAGAGCAAGAGAAACCTGCGGACAGCCAGTGAACTGGAAGAGTTCAAGTGCCGCAAAGCCAGCGAGAAGGAAGATGGGCGGCTGGGTAGCCAGGGGTTTGTGTATGTCATGGCCAACAAGCAGCCTCTGTGGAATGAGGCCACACAGGTGTACCAACTGGATTTTGGAGGGCGGGTGACCCAAGAATCAACCAAGAACTTCCAGATCGAGTTGGAAGGGCGGCAGGTAAGGAATTTGTAGCACTGTAACCGCTGGGTAAAGGATATCAGTGCTTTTGGCTCCTTGGGAGCATGTGTTAAAAGGCCAAGCCAGGAAGGAAAACAGCAAGTATCTCCTAGGTGGAACCAGTTGGGTTTATAATATATCCATTGTAGTCTTTATGTGTTTGTTCCATATACAAGATATACAAGACATATATATATACACATATATGTATATATATGTGTGTGTGTCTGTGCGTGCATGTGTGTGTGTGTATGACTTGTAAAGAAAACTTATTCCACCCCTCATGGCATGTGCTCTCTCAGACACTGGAGCTTTCCAGCCTTTGTGGGGGTTTTTTGTTTGTTTGTTTTTTGTTTGTTTGTTTCCTGATTCAAAAAAGACTATCAGATATGCAGAGAACATATTTATACTCCTCCTTACTGATGTTTCCTTTGGAAGCATCATATATTGCCTTCTTCCTAAGGAACCATCTCATTGGTTGTGCTGTCTGCTTCCATCAGGGGCCAGCAGGTCTGGTCACCTCTTTTCCTACCTTGTTTTCTGTTTGTATCTCCTCTGCCCCCTCCAGTCATGTGATTCTATCTGAAAGAACTGATCCCTGCTCAGCTGTGCACTGCTTTTGTCTGAGGAATGTTAGTTTCTTTCCTCCCCTTCCATCCCTATACATAAAACCCCATGAACTTCTCTTCCCCAGTTTCCTTAAAGCAGTCTTCATTGGTGATTATGTTATGCTAATAAGTAGGATTCACACGTTTAGTTAGTATGGCTGTTTTTCACAGACACACTAATTTCTTAGTTTTTGTTTGCTTGTTGCTTACTTCTGTATACTTACTACTAAATTATTCCCTCGGCTCTCTAACAGAAGGTAAGTTTTCTCTGGATACAGGTGTGCATAGTGGGTGAGTTGTCAGTTGTCCCTACTCTAGTTTGTATGGCTACTTAATTCTGCTGCATAAATTCCCTCTTTGCTGTGCTAGAAATTCCATTTTAAAATAAATTCTCATTTTTTTTTAAAGTTTGTTGGGGTTTTTTTGTTTTGTATTTTAGTAAGGGTCTACAGGGTCTCACTACGTAAATTGGACTTATAGTGATCCACCTGTGTTCAGCCTCCCAAGAGCTGGGATTCACAGGTGTGCGCCATCTCAGCATGCCCCAGGGGTGAGGCCGGCACGGCACGCTGGGGATGGAACCCTGGCCACTGCATCTGCCTCAACAGGCACTTTAATCCGCTGAGCTATTTGGCTGGCCCTGTTCTCTCATTTTTAAATTCACATTTCAATTATTGCACTTGTCAACATTTATCAAGTACCTTCTATGTACCTGGCAGTCTTCTAAGCCAATAGTGGGCAGAACTGTGGCCCGTGGTGCACTTTGGCCTATTGCTTCTGTTGGTAAATAGTTTTTTTGAAAGATAACCCTGCTCATTCACTTAAGTATGTTATCTAGAGCTACTTTGACCTGCTACTAACAGACTTGAGTGGGTATGACAAAGACTATATGACCTACAAAGCCTACAAGTTTCAATATTTACGTAAAGTATTATTTTTACTATTATTTGTAGAAAACTTGCCAACTCTTACTCTAAGTGAGAAATTATAGCCGTGAATAAAACAAGGTTGTCACTGCCATGATGGAGCTCCCAAAAGTAAGAGAAAGACCACAAATGAATCAGGATATATCCTACAGCATAATGTTGTAAACTCATATCCTGTGGCTACAGAAAGTAGTGAGATCACAAGTGAGGCAGGGTGAGGTGATTGTGCTGTCTGGGTAAGGGGTTGGAGGAGCCTTCTCTGAGGCAGAAACATTGTACAGTTTCACTTGATACTTCTCTGAAGGTTTTTAGCCTGTGGAGTCTCCTTTTCTTCTCTGTCTTTTATGAAGAACCCACTTCATTGCCCTGTAGAGTTCCCTGAATTCTGTTTATTGCTTCTCTTTTCATTGTTTCACAAGTTCCTCTGTAATTTCCTTCAAAGTTGTTAGATTAAAAGCTTGATCATATTTAGTCTTTTTGTTAGCAAAACTATCTCACAGGTTGTGCTGTCCGCTTCCATCAGGAGCTGGCAGGTCTGGTGACCTATTTCCCACCTTGTTTTCCTCTTGTGCTTTGTTCCTCACCTCCCACCACCACCACCAGGTGATGCAGTTTGGGCGGATTGACGACAATGCGTACATTCTAGACTTCCAGTACCCCTTCTCAGCTGTGCAGGCCTTTGCAGTTGCCCTGGCCAATGTGACTCAGCGCCTCAAATGAAGAGACTGGTGTGGGAGGAGAAGCCAAGGAGCCCTTCAAGAAGAATCCATGTGGCCAGATGCCCAGGAAGACCAGAGACAACATTGCAACTGGATGAGCCCATGAGGCCAAGAAGAGGCGCACTGACCATTAGGCGTGGTTGTTTATTTGATTATCCTTATGGTCTGTCTTTCTTTTCTTCTTTCAGCAGAATGGCATTTAGAAGCCAAGGGTGTCTAGTGTCTTGTTCTTTCAGGAAATATATCTTGGCTGTGGAATGTTCTACTGAGTTTGCTTCTCAGCAACCAGGACAAGGGCCTTTGGAGAGAAGACAGACTGCCTTCTAGCCTGCTGTTCTTTTAGAAGGAGTATGCATTAGTGTTCATTCTCTACAACATCTTGTCTGTTTTCAGTAGTACACAACAAAAACAACCAAAGCCCAAAGATTCAGGTTGTCTTGAGGAGGGCAGCATTTAATTCTCATACTTTATGCTACCTCCCAAAGGTGATTTGGCAAATGAAGGGCCATTGGGCAAATGCACTGTTTGACCAATGAGAATAGAATCTGTATAGGGGTACTGTCTTCAGGATAAGTGTGATTTGGTTATCAGTGGTGTCTGGGAAGGGCTCATGAGTGAGGAGGTGTAGATAGGCACTGCAAATACCTGGGTGATTCAGTAGTATGATTTGTATAAGGGCCACACTCCTCTTCCAAAGATGTTCATGTTGGAAGACTACTGGTTTCATCAGTGTGTCTCATAGGATCAGTGATGATTGTTCAGTAAGATCAACTTACTGAAGAAGGTAAGACATAATAATGGAAAGATCCCAGCCTAGGGTAGGTCTAGGGATTTTCTCAGTGTGGTAGTCAGTCACTAGATACCCCACTTGCTAAAAACAGCCTCTGTTCTCTTTATCTCATTTATTGTTTAATATGGAATACATTATTGTAAATGTGATCTCTCCCATTGGGTGTCATTGTTCCATCCTTCTCCAAAGTGTGGGTCTGACTTGTATTAAAAACACTCCTTTCTTCCTATTGGTTACATTTAAATTCAAATGACCAGAAATATTTTTCATCAAGAAATATAATCCACCAAATTTTTAGACACTTAACAGGTGTTAAAATATAGGTGTATGGTCAAATATTTGATTGAACTTCTAAGGAAAAAAAAAAGAGCTGTTTATTAACTCTACATACTGTTCACTGAGGAAATAAGCCACTGGGAAAACATTGTTAAAATTATTAAACTTAAGACATTTGGTTAAATTTTGTCTGATGCTTTTAACTTCCTATATTTGTTTAAAAATTAGGGAAGAAAGTGGCCCATTCATTTCTCAAAGCAAAACGACACCACTCTCCATTCTTTCCAAACAAGACCTTTGGAAAAAATACAGACTGCCTTCTAGCCTGATGTCATGGCTATACTGACAAGTTTTTAAATATGGTACAGTCTATATCCCATCTAATAACAGAGTTTTCCACTTTATAATGAAAAATATTGGACCTAGTTGTTCATTGAGTTGGCAGTTAGGTGGAGTTTCAGTTTGATTGGCTTTGGGATCTCCAGAAAATGTGCTTCAGTGAAGCATATTTCTAGGTGTATCTGGGTAGGTCATAAAGGCATAGCCTGGGGGTCTGTGTGTAGTCCCTTGCCCCTTTCTCACTGACACTTTTTCTTTGCTCCTTCTGAAAACTAAACAGCTTTGCTCTGCCACACCCTTCTGCTATGATGTCTCTGTCTTTGGAGCTAGCCCATCATGTATTAAAACTGTGAGCAGATTAAACCTCTCCTTTAAGTTTTGACTGTTGGGTATTGTGTGTCAGCAATGAGAAAGCTGATTATTACAGTGAATAAATTCTTTCACAAATTAGCAATTTATTCAAAATTATCTAATTCATTCTTACATGAGTTTCTGTAGCTTGATATGATGTCTCAGTGCTTATTAGTTGTGCAATAAGTTATAGCCTGTTTTGGAAATAATTTAAATGTGATTTCTCTGTTTTGTTGTCCAAGAGATGATATTTATCTTGCTTTTCATAATATTCTTAGAAATTATTTTGTTACTATGTATTGGTGAGTTATGCCCATTTTATTATTTATTTAGAAAAATAGTACCTTTGTACTACTTTGTAATGACTTATTTGGTAGCAGTATATTTTGCTGCAAGAAATAAACAGGATATGATATGATGTTTTTGCTGGATAATTTGTAACTTTTTATAATTGGGAAAATCCTATTAATCTTTTAAAAGTAATTTTTAATTTTGTGGAATTGATTGTATGCAACAGAGAATATTTCTTTGAGATAGCTTATCCTAAAATAATATTTTCCTTACTTTGAAAAATGTTTTTAATAAAAAATAAAGGGTAATAGGAAATGAGAAAGGGAGAGCTGTTAGAGAAGAGTAGCAAAGGAAAGAACTATTAAGAAATAAGCTTCAGTTTCTTAGTTCTGATTAGTGTTTAAGCTATAAAGACCACCAAAGAGTATATTTTAGAACTTCTCTCTATAAGAACAAATACAGGGGGAATCTGTTCTCCAAAGACTTTCCTCACAGGCACGTCTGTCCCTGCAGCAGCTGCCAGCCCCCTCCACCCACCCAGGCTGAGGAAGCATAAGTCGTACCTGCAGGCCAGGCAGGAGCTACGGCTGCAGCAGATGTGATACGGTGCTTTCCAAGTGAAGGTCGTAGTTGTACTTGTTTTAGAAATTCCATTCAGTCAGTTTCAGTTGATTAAGTACTACTAAAGTTAGGACTTTAGTAGAATTCTAAGTACATGTTGTTTATTAAAACCAATTTGTAAGTGTCAGGATACCTCATTGACCTGCTAAATTAAAAAACATTAGTCCAGTGAAGAAAAATGGATTATGTAAAGACTTTTGGAAGGAAATGGTATATTAACAAACATAAAAATCAATTTTGAATTTGTTTAGCTCTAACTTGATGAAACCAAAGGTGTCATGGTTATGTGCACAAAAATACCCAGTGAATGTATATCCTGAGAAAAATTGGGACCAAAGAAGCAAAAAGCTCTGAAAGCTCTAATGGCAGTGTAAATCACACACGTTAGCAGGTGGATATTTTTCATCTATAGCTGTTGCTCCCACATCAGGTGCCCCACACAGACATGTAGAAACATGTAATTTTCATTCTATCAGCACAGCAAATCTGGAGGCCCCAGCATTGAGCCTGTACTGCCCTACATTTAGAGGGTGACAAATCCGTGGGGCTGTCAGACTTCTGTCTTCATCAATAAATTACAAGACATGTATGGACAATCTCAACTCCTTTTCAGCTCCAATAGCCCAGGAATTTGGGATTGAACAGTTTGATCTTCCCACTTCAGAAGCGGAGAAAATATGTTCTAAAACATTTGTCTTTTTATAGAGAATTTCTTTTCCTGAGTCTATGAGCTGTCTACTGAATATAAACCAGTGCACTTAACATAGCAGCTTAAGAAAAGCATTTGGATTCATGCTTGTTCTTGAAAAATTACACAAAAGCATGGATTCTAAGCAAGACAAGTCTCTATGAGTGTGCCCTTCTCAGTGGCTGTCCTTGAGAACAGACAAAATAAGTGCCCATTTGCCTTCAAACCCTGCGGGTGGATTCAGAGAGAATAGAGGAGTATAAACATAGGTGGACTTGCTATCTTTACTGTTTCAAGTGTCACACTGCCTTTAGATTCAAAAGGTTGAAGGAACTTGTGAAAAAAGAACACATAATGTCTCTGTGTGAGCTGCAGATCACTTGTCTGGTTGTAAACAAAGTTAGCTGAGACAGAACATGTCAGAAATGTCATTTGAGTTCCTAGGAGTTTGTACACAAACACAACTCAGAACTCTGCACCATTTGTGTGTTTCCTTATCTCTGGCTGTTAAACTCAAGGGTTGTGGCATATTTTGTTTCCATTTTCTTTGGCTTTGTGCAATTTTCTTGTAACTTTACTTGTACCTGTATATTCTGTTTACAAATTCTTTTTAAAGGAAGGGATAGAATTCTAAGATCTCATTTATTGTAGATAAAAATTTTTTTCGTGTTGTAGAAAAGCATGGAATATGCGTGAAAAAGGCACTGTATTATTTACCAAAGGGGTATTGTTTTTGCATTTGTTTATAAATGCATTATTTTGGTACTGTAAATTTGGACATAATTTTTTTAGTTTATTACTACTGGCACTTTTTCTTCTTTCCTTCCTTCCTACCTCTGTCTTTTATCTCTTGTTCCCTTCTTTCTTTCCCCTCCCATAAGTGTGCAGTGCAGGTGCACAGGTCCCAGACCACACAAAACCACCAGCATGTTTTGTCTAGACCTTGAGAGTGGTGTACACATCTTTGTGTACTTAAGTTCTTCTAATTCTTTTTTAACATTCTGCTTTGTTTCACTTTCCAAACAAGATCTGTTGAGATTCCCAACTGCATTTCAATGATCTATCCCTTATTTGCCCCTCTTCTTATGTATTTTGTATATTTAAATGTGCAGAAGGTATTCTAGAAGGAATTAATGGTTTGCATTCACAATGATGTGATTTGTCCAACATATTTTGTTTTTATAATTGAGATGGTTTAATCTTATTTTTTCTTTGATGATTTAAAATTGTAAGAGTTGTCCAGCTATTGCTTAATAAAATTTTGCAGATCAAAAAATCAGTTGCTCATGTGCAGAATTCAGATGTGGATCTTGAGTGCTTTGAGAAGAAATCACCTCACACCACTGACCTGACCATTTGCTTCACGGGTCTCTTGGAAACTGCCAGCTGTTATTTGAGACTTAACGGGACCCTCTCATTGTGTGTTTCACTTTGCGAGGTCAGAAATTGTTTTGCCTTGTTGATGAATTGATTTGAATTAGTTTTTTTTTTTTTAAAGATCTTGATTGAGAATGCACTCAAAAGATCTGAGGTGCTAAATATATTAACACCTTCTTTGTTACTTCATAGGAAATGTCATAAAACCAAATTTAAAGCAATTCAGCTATAAAGTGCTAATAGAACTGTTAATTGTTACTACTAATGAGTGCTTGCAAGTTTCCTTTCCCTTGCAGTTACCTGTGGCCGCAGAAAACTGATACATCCTAAACGTATGTATCTGTAAGCATTTTATGTTTATATTTACAGAACTACCCCTTTGGTCTCCTTCAGCAATAAAAATATGTCTTGATTAGGATTTTAGGAGACAAAAGGACCCAAACCACTGTCAACTCCCAACAAATTCTAATTATAAAGTGTTTTTAATTAATTGTAAGATTATAAATTTGTGATAATAATTACACATGGCTAACTCCTTTGAATCTTGTACAAGAAAATGTATCTCATTTTACTATGAAAGCTCCTGAGCATTGAGCATATTCTTTACATCTTCATCACTAGTAGCAAAGGAGACATGCCAAAATCAAGTTTTCTGCTAACCGCCATTCCCTTCACAAACAAAACACACTAATAGTTTTTACCTGGGGCTACCAGAAATGCCCACGTCTAGGATTGTCATCTCCACCAAGCCTGTGTTCAGTTTTGGGACAGTGTTTACAGAAGTGACTTAAATTTAAAGCCCTGGTAAAAGAATTTAGCAAATCCTTAATCCTCCTCAAACTTTTTTGTGAGAGATACAGTCTATTTTTATTGTATTTTTTTATTGTTTTCCTGGTAGCATAAAAAAAGGGGGGGGGAATCCGTTTTACTTTCCTGTCCTAGCCAAAAAAATTCAGTGTACAAACAACTGCTTCATAGAGACTACATTGCAGTTTTCCAAGGAGGTAGAAATACTAATCATAGCTAAATTTACGTCTGTTATGAAGCAGATCCCTTTCGCTCCCTTTGCGCAGAAAATTGGAGCATTGAGAGGTTAAAATAATTTCTCGATTCCATAGGCAAAAACCAATCCTGACACCAGACATGCCATGCATGCCTATAATCTCAGCATTTGGGAAGTAAGGCAGGATTGTGAGTTTGGGGTCAGGCTGTGACACACAGTGATAACCTGTCAGAAGAAAACAGAACAATTCCAATATAGAATCTAAGATTTCTAGGTCACTTTGCTGAATAGACAGATCCAATACATTTCCAGCTTCTCACTCTAGTTAGCAATGATTGGTCTCTAACGAGCTATGAGTTATTTAGTCATCCTGCAGGCAAAGAATATTGTAGATGGGCCCTCGCCCCCCTCCTCAGCTCAGATTTGAGTACTCAGTTTAGTACTTTCACATGTTTAAAAGACTGACCATTTGGCTCATACTGTATTACCCAAACAACACAAAAGCACAGATCTGTGTGAATTTGTTTCTTTGCATAATTTCAAAATAGTTGTCCACTGTCCTAAAGAAACTATTGATGGGCAGAACAGGTTCATTTCTTGGATCTACTACTTGGAGCTTCTATTAAACATATCTAGAGCAAGGTCCATGGTGCCCTGCCTTTTTTATCCCTTTTGTTTCCTTTTGGGCTTGCTGCTTCATTACTTCTCTCCACCAGATGTGTTGTTGTGCTATAGCAGACATTAATGCCACCTCTTGGTGCTTCTTTCAAAGGATTGTGAACCTTCAATGAAGTTTTGAGACTTTCCTTTAAAACAACATTGGAGTAAGCTCTTGAGAAGATCACAGAACTATAAAGGAGAAATTACTGTTTGAGCTAAAAAGAAATGTTTGAAGAATTTGTTAAACTTTAGCTATCTTTAAATCAGTGTCCAAGCACCTTGCAAAGTATTTGTTTTTCCTCTTTGTAGTGTGGACTCTTAGTGCCTTCTCTCAGGTTAGTGTTAATCAGAAATTGAAGTGTCCCATTTGCCATTTAGTGCATGTTCCATTGCAGGCATTTACTAAGCCAGTGATTTTGCAACCTTTTCGCTGTATGTGTACCCCATTCCCTAAAAGAGAGAGAGCAGTTTAGACGATCAGGGCTGTCTGCAGATTGGTGCCCCAAACTGTATTTTTTGTTTGTTTGGTGTTTTGTTGTTTTGTTTTATTTTGTTTTGTTTTGTTTTGTATTTTAAGGAAGGGTCTACAGGGTGTTCAGGCTCTTACTACTAGATCAGACTTGTAGTGATCTGCCTGTTTACAGCCTCCCAAGAGCTGGGATTACAGGTGTGTGCCACCATGCCCAGTCTCAAATGCCATCTCAGTGCGCCCCGGGGGCAGGGCCCATACAGCAGGCCCAGGGATCAAACCCCCAGCCCCTGCATCTGCTTGCAGGCA